GGCAATCCTTCACTGTGTTTAACCCTGTCAGACAGTGGCCGGGGCCTTCTCCTGCCCTTTGTCCCTCTTCTTCCCACCATCCCTCTGTGTCTGTCCGCTCAATGGTTGACCTACAGAACCACTGCCAACATGATGAGGATGGTGAGAGTGAAGAGAGGAAGAGAGGGACGGCCTGCTTCTTGGTATAAGGTGAATGTCCAAAAAAGTTCCCTAAAAAAAGGATCATGTGTGACATCTTTTGTTTGTGACTTTTTTTCACAGTTAATTCCAACACCCCACATATCAGTTAAACACCAGTACTGCGACCCTGCTGGGAGTCTAATATTTTTGTGGTCTATTACTCATCCTAAAGTGTTTATTTCACTTGTCCAAAGAAAGCCACTGTTTTCTGTTGGTAGGTTCTATTGTATTTTGATTGGTTCAATAGGAAATAATAGATAACTTTAAGCACAATTCTGAAAACTTTCTATTTTTAAGTTTTGCTCTGTTAAAACAGCTACAAAGTGCCGTACTTTTTTTTTTTTTTTTTAATATTCTGAGCGTAACACCTTTACTTTTATTTTTTAAAATGTATTTATTTGTGTTTGTGTTAAATGGGAAGTTGTAACTGCGTAAAAAAAAAAAAAAAACACATTTGAAAATACCTTTCCACATCCTTTAAAATACAGAAAATCATAGAAATTATCATGTCGTCCACGTCTAAAACCCAATAACGTGTTCTTCACGGTGTACTAATTAGCATAGATCCAGTTGTGTGGTAGAAGTTGCTTTCCCCCTGTGTAACTGCAATTAAATAATGACATACAGAACAATATCAAATGTTAAACTGAACAAACATAAGAGGTTGATACAGTTATCAGATGTCATTTTCCTATGACTGGCAGACAAAGGCTTTGTTTGTGAGCTCCATATCCTCCACTCAGTGTTTCTCCCTCACTATCTCTCTCCCTCTCTCTTCCTTGTATCAACTGCAGCTCACAGCAGCAAACAGAGTTGTATGCAAATACTAAAAGCCATAATGCATTATATTGTTTGGTGTTAACATTTGAATATTTAAATGGTGCGTTTTAGATCTAGATATTCCCATTTCAATTTCCATACATGCTGAATGCAGACAGTTAGGTTTGCCCACATGGAAGGTTGAATACTTGGTGAGTGGATTTGCATCTTTTCTGCACAATATTGGTTTGACACACCGTCATTTTTGTGATTATGTTCTTGCTGCATATATACTTGTTAACAATGCAAGTTACCTATGTTTAATAAATGACTGCTGTATGTGGCCTGTGTCAGAGCCACAGAGCTGGACGTACGAATCACCCACGTACATGCCACTTAACCAAATTGGCAAAGCTGATAAGCCAAATTTACATAGCAGTGTTGCTGGGCGTGATTACTATCAGTAAAACTTCCCCCCACGCTTTAATGGAAAGTTGGGATATAACTTAGTGTGGGTTACAGCTGCCCTCGGGAAAATAGCTCAATTACACCCATGGATATAAACACTCATGTGGCTGTCGGAGTGGTAAACAGATGTGGGGTGACAGTCTGTAGTACATGCTCAGTCAAGCAGCTGTTGCTGCACCTTCATTCATTCACTTGTTCTGATGATGGATTCCTATTTCTCTCCCCACGGCTCAACATGAAGCCACACTATTTGCTTATGGGGCAGAGGCAAAAAGCATATTAAGCTTCTGAGAATATCATTTACATGTTCCGTGTGTAAAGCTAACGCACGCTGCACTTTTACTGCCACTGTCAAACACAACAATCTGTTTGCATGAAGTGCACATTACGGATGGACTGAGTACGACTTTAGTCCCCATCTGTCCATACAGGCCTCCCTGCCCTACCGCAGGGCTGTACCAAAACCACACTGTTACCAACTTCTTTCCAAACTGAAAAAAGACAACACAAGAGCATTCAAAATGATGTCATATGATGTTATTTTGTCTTAGCGCACTGCGCATTTGTACTCACACAGTGTATTGAAAAGGACATCCCCTTTGGCTGTTGTCTCATTGGGAGCCTACCTGTCACACAGCTGATATGAAGCTCTTTGAATGCAGTGTGTACATGTGATCAGAGCTGCAGCAAGCACCCCAGATGACAAAGTGACTAGGAGTGTCAAAGCAGCCTACAAACAGGCCTGTCCTCTTACAGACAGGAAGCTGGGAGCAGCAGAGGCGCTGCCTTGTCTCATCTGCCAGCAGCGCTCGCTGCCTCCCCGCCTCATCACAGCAACCATGTCTGATGGTGTGCACAACTCCATGCTGGACGGCTGTTTTGATTTCAGTCTGTGTGACACATCTGTTGCTTGTCACGTTGTGTTGTGAGTGTCTGTGAGCTGAGCGCGATGAGGGCAAATGTGCTTCTCATCCCTCTGTTCGTGTTTACAAACAGGGCTCGTACGTACAAACAGGCCAGCATGGTATGCTTGGTGTGGAAGGTCACGAGGCCGAACGAGATGCTTTGTGCACCTGTGCAGCTGGTGCCACAAGCTATCAATCCTCATAGCTTACTGCAAATGTGTAGGCTGTAGAATGTGAGTGCTCTGTATTAAAAGATGCATTATCTGCTAATAAGCCCAGTATGAAATCTTCGCTAAAAGTCAGAAGTAATTGCAGTGTTGATTTTATATAATATAAAAGAGAAAGGGTATGGATCTTGGTCACTTTATCATCCTTGAAGACTCTTCCATCATTGTACACTACCTACTGAAAATCAATTATTTCCCTACCACGTCTAATTGAGAAAATTTGCTCTAGCTGTAAATCAAATCTGCATCAAGGGTGCATTCTTCACACCGTGCTCTTTATGGGCTTTTAAAGTACTTTGCAAGAGCATTTCACAAAACTACCAAAATCAAGGATATTCTATGCAAGACTTCCCTGTCAGCTTAAATACATGAGCGATGACCATGGCTAATTGGATCCATCCAATCCATCCATCTATGAAGTACACATGCTATATCAGCGAAAATCAAATGACATTGTTTCACTCAGTGTAAGGCAAGCCCGGTGCTAAAGAAGCAGAAAGGTATTTATTAATGGGATGTTACAGTAGCTTAGGAGTAGTGCATTCACAGTTGCTTCATTTCCATGTCCTTGTCTTTCCAGTTAATATTAAAAAGTGCCACGTAATTACAAGTTTAGGATTCATTTACATGCAAAGTGCCAGTGTGGCCATAAATTGCAGTGAAAAAGTTCTAGCAGTGAGACTTTTTTTTCCCTTACTCCTAACTATTTGTAATATTTTTTTTAAATAATTGAATTAACAAAATGATCAAATTTCAAATAAAATGAAAGTTGAGAAAAACAAAAAAATTTGTCGATACGAGCATTTTTGCATGAGCATCAAATACCAGCCTTTCATGTAAATGCAACCCCTCTTAAGAGGGTGGGGAAAAATTTGAGACAGCTCATTTACATTGTCAAATGACACAACACTCATACTTTCCATTTACTATCAAACTGTTTTGCAGACACACTAACCTGGAAACGATAAGTGCGCGTCGTTTCTCACCGCTAAGTCGATGCAACAATACTGGAATGGGGTTGAACGGAATACGACGTGATCGAACACCGTGACTGCCATTTTGACCGGCCTCATCAGACCACAAGACAACGCGTAGCGGCGCTTGGCACGGCAGGGAGGCACAACGCTGCTATGGGGCTCTAATATATTCAAAGAGGGATCATTTACTTAAGGCTTGCATCCAAGGATCAGTCTGGCCTTCATTAGCCTCAATCTGACACGGATGTGAACAACATGTTGGCTTGCCACATGAACACTGCCCCTCCTCCTCCTCCCTCCGAACCCCGAACGCTCCACTCCCCTCCCTTCTATGAGACCTGCGCAGCAAATTCCTCTGGAAATATCACAGGTTGTTAGCATTCCAGAGAGAATTTTACATGGGTGTACATTCAGGCCTTAATTAGAAACTCTATTTGATCATTCAGCAGCTGGGCTTTATTAAAAATACGGGTTCACATCGCCTTACAGTCACCCCTGGCTCAGTGTGAAAGAGCTCACAGAGGCAGAAGAGTCCATGAAAGAAGAAAATAAATATTCATTACTTGATACGTAGAGTCCCTGTATGGGAAATCTGCTCCCCGCCAGGCAGTATTTACACTTGGTTTAGAACAACATTAAATATCCCTCACATGACATATGTGTCATCCAGTTCTGTGAAGAAGATGGATGAAACTGTGGACAGACCAACGAGAGTTTAAATGTCCAGTAAGAGGTCAAATGATATTTTCTATTAAAAAAAAAAACGACATGTTTTTAATATGTTATATATATTAGATATATATTCGAATACAAAGCCCAATCAAAACACCACGTTACAACCCTTTACACAGAACCACTGAAAGCCTCAACCTAAATGTCAGCACAAAACCTGAGCTACATCGACCTGAAAAAGAACCGAAGAGATGTAAACTATATCTGACCAAGGTCGACAGGGACTATAAAACAAACACCGGGTTTAAGGTGAAGTCTTCCCTGCGTGAAGGTTAGCCATGTTTTGTGTTTACACTACACTGCAGGCTTTGAAATTGTTTTGCAGTGTGGAGTCTGCCCAGAGTCATTGTTTGTTTTTGACGTGTTTATACACCACACAAGGAGTAATGACTTCTAGGATAGTCTGGGGATGCAGACATGATCCAGCACACTATCTGCAATTTTCTTTACTTTTCAGGTTCACAGTTAACTTTCGACGGTCAACACCGACAGGACTCCCGTTGACCGGGGCGCCGGCAGCTTATGTTCGCCGAAGTGATGTCAGTACACAACTGCATCAGGAAATGAGGAAATCGGTTACTATGCAAAACCTTCCTTATCATCTTGTGGCATTCAAACTCATAACAATTTCCATATAATGCCTCTCTTTGGAAAGACATTAAAAAACAGTTTGTCTAAAAGGTGGTACATGAGTAGTGTGTTTCTCAATCAGCTGCTGCTGCCGCATGCTGACGTGCATGTGAAGTACTTACTTTGATCTCTGGCTCCACAGGATGTCACCACTGGAGTCTCCTGGCTGGACCGGCAAGCAGCAGATACAAGGGGAGGAGAGAAAAAGAAGAAGAAGAAGAAGAAGAAGAAAGGAGGTGTAAAAGGAAAGTCGTGGGGTGGGGGTGGTAGAATGGAAAAAAAGAGAAACAGTGGAAATTATTTTAAACATGAAGGTGACAAAAGCAAAAAAACATACTCATTTATCCACAACAATAACTGTGTTGTCACCTCAGATGCGATTTGGTTCATGACGGTAATGTGTGTGAGCGCGCAGGCACCTCTGAGTTAAGTATGAGTGCAGGGACACAAAACAGGTCACTTTCAAATTAATATTCATTACGGCAGAATTAAATAGGTTTCCCAGTGCCCCCCTTTAAATATCTGTGGATACATATTTAGCATCTCAAACAAGAACTCCCCTGATTAAACAAATAATGACACATTCCGAAAACTGCAACCGAGTCCAAATTAATTTGAGCATTGCTCTAATTGCATTTAAATACTGCTCCTCCCTAACCTTAGATCAAGCATTTTTTAATTACTGGCTTCTGAAGACTGAATCCCTACAGTGTTGAGGCAAAAATAAAAAATAGGTTATGTTTTACAGCACAATCTAAATGTTGTTTTTTGTTTTTTTAATCAGTACAAATAAAGCTTCACTAGAGTGACTTCTGAGAACACTCAAGCTTTCTGAAATAGCTTGTCCGTGGTATTAAACTGCCCTTTTCAAATCACCACACATTAGCACTCAACCTCTCACAGTTGAGCTCAGTCATGCAGTCCCACTGCCCCATGCCCCTTCGCCTTAACTCCTTCCCTCCGTTTGCAAACACACAGGGAAGAAACGGCAAAATGTGTTTCCTGAAAGGGAGGAGAGGTGGAAAAAGCCCATCCTGCCCCGAGAATCACTGCCGCCCCACCAGAGCCGCCGCCACTGGCCTTTCTGCAGAGGCAGCAAAAGTTCCCCGAGAGGGGAGCGTCTGCCAACTCAAACAGGGCTCATTCTCCTCTCTGTGGGCCGCCAGCCGCCCATGTGGGCCTGCGCTGGGCTTCCTGAGGGCTCGCTGCAGCTGGAGGAGTTTGAATAAAGGTAACAGCAATGTCACAGCTACTGTAAACTTGCTAGGCTGCTCCTGTCAGCAGGACGTTCCCAATCAAAGCAGAAACAACCCCACCTAAAACACAACGCATTGTTTTTTTTCCACCGGCCCCAAGTCCAAACTTCCCACGAATCACAAAGAGAGCACACAGGCGAGAGGGCAACCACTGTTCCCTGATCTTGCCAAACAAAATGCCAAGAGACCGGGAGTGACATTCAGCTCTGGGGTTTAAAAATACGAGCAATTTGAAAATGATTAGAGTCTTATTTTCTTGTTGAGCGCCTGACACAGGAGAGGAAACCAGAACAATCAAGCCAACTGACTTTTTTTCTGCTGAATTTAGAAACACTAATTAGTTTTGCTCTCGTAAAGCCAACCTGAAAACGACCAATTAGAAAGTGAAAATGAGACGTGCAGAGGAAACAAGAGCTTGTCATTTGCACTGTTTAAGTCCCATATGCACAACTTTACTGTGATGACTTTCACACAAACTCAAGATGATTGGCATGCCGCCTACTAAACTTAATGTCACGTACACCCTCTAATCAAATAGCCCTTTGCTTAGTTAGAAGGAAACTATTACAGATCTATGTGGCCACATCAAACACAGTCTAGGCAGCTTGGCCATGCAGATGTCTGAAGCACCAGGCTGGGGAGAGGATACAGCCCACCAGGCTGACCACAGCACCAGCTGCTTTCAGCTACAGACCTACCAGGGCCAAACTGTTACCCCGCACAGGTGCATAGTTTCTATGAATTTCCTCTTTCAACAGTACTGGAACATTTCCTCTGCATTTAGCACTGTTTCATTGTAACAGCAACGGCTGGTACCTTCAAGTACTTTTATTTCACACAAAGTATTTAACCTGCCGAGTGGTGCTGGTTCACATTTAGCCAGTCATTAGAAGGAGCGTAAAACTCGTGGAAATTATCTGCAGGAATTTCATCGCTATTCCCCAAGCAAACAGTGGCGAGCGTTTCATCACTGTCGGGCTGAAGACGGATGGGCTGTCAGTGCCTTCCCCTGTCCACGATCCAGCTCCTGGGCTGGGAAGTGGCTAAAAAAGGCCGGGGCAACGCTTTCCAGGCCTGCGCCTTTTACTGGGAGTAATTCTCAGATGCCAGGTCGCTGCCAACGTCCTTGCAGCCAATGGCAGAGAGGCCAGTAAGTTCACATTAACTGCAGAGTGTAACTGCACTGAACATCTGCTCATGAATGAGAGCACTGCCCACTAACTCAGCGCGTTGAAGCCCACTGATGAAAAATTCAACGTTCTCCTCGCTGGCACGCTTGTTTTGCACTATTCTCCTGAGCCTCCAGAATTATATTAAGAGAATTTCAGCACGGCCTGGTGTATCTGAGAGAACAGCTGGCGCTGAAAAGGGATCTGCCGCTCGGCGAGAGCTCAGGGACTTCACACGGGATCTGCCTTCTCCTACACCATTTGTCCTTGAAGGAAAAATATCAGTGTTAAGCACCCAGGTAATAATAAGAAAGCAGAGGCTACATTTAGCTGATTACACCACCCATGTGTGCTCCAGTGGACAGAGCATAACCAATGAAGACATGAATCGATATGGACTGGAAAGGGAAGACTGAGGGGCAATTGTGACAATAAGTAGCTCTCCCAGGGGACCTATTCACTGCACCTCTCCTTTGTTTGCCTTGTTTAGCTCATTAGATTGTTAACTAGAAAGAATCTGCCCCCAACCCCACAATATGGAATCAGTCTAATCAGAACCACAAGCAGTCTGTTCAGGGGGCAACTACATCAAAGACTTTGGAAAGTATAAAGGCAGTCCCACAATTCTGACCTTCAATTGCTGCAATTATGTGCCTCATAAGTTTGATATTACTGGAGAGACAAAATGGACAAAATATATTACTGAGTAGTATCAGCCAAATAGCAAATGTTATCATGTTGTAGGATAAATACAGAAGATCAGTGAACCTCGATGTACATAGTGACATGACCTGACGAAGTCTTTCCTCTGAAGATGATGAAACAGTTTCTCCACTTAACAATGTTAATTTTAAGGAAGTGATGACTGCCAGCAAACCCTAAGAATAAAAGATTACCAAACTCAGTAATTTCACTTCTGTCTTTCTGGAAATACAGTTACCAGATTTCTATAAGTCAGCACAGGACACAAACTGAGTGATCGAAACATGTATCTCATTGTGGATTTAATCATAATTTCAGATTCACAGTTTCTGACTTCAGATCAGGCACACGACAAAAGGGTCTCCCTGTTTTGATCTGGGCTTCGGTGTGAAGCAGGAATGAGTTCACGTTTCTTTCCCTTTCACACAATGCACTGAATGATGTGAAAATCATGGCAATAGCCCAAAAAGGGATCTGTGAATATGATATTGCCATTGAAAACCAAGAGGACGTCTGGAGAGAAGCTCATTTAGCTGGTGACAAATGACGGCACTTTGTCTTCCTGACAAGATCCCTCCTTCATCAAATGTCCAACTTCACATGGAAATAGGAAATCACACATTATCACACTGACAAACAATTACAACCATGTCATTAGCGGCAACCCTGGGCCTGGAACCATTAACAAAACACAATGTTGCACACCGCGCTAACCATCAGAAGAAACACAGGATGTAGATGAAAATACACTGATAAATCAATCATGACACAAACAACCTGATGCTTACAGTTTGGGAGATCTAAATGGTCGGAACGAGGGGCGATAACGGTCACGTGCGCCGGCTAAATAAATCAAAAAAATAATCTCGGCTAATCAAAAGTTCTGCATAAAGATTTATGTCTTTGATGATGACAGAACAGTGCTTGCCTTATATTAAAAGTCAACACTTTAAAGGAGTTTCTCTCTAAGTGACTTAATCAGATACAGCGCATTAGTATCTTTTTTAATACATCTCCCAGTGTCAGCCGGCAAATGAAAAAGCTAGCCTCTGTAAATATGACTGCTTACTTCTAACACAAACATTGTTGACACCTAATGTAATTTCAGTGGGACATCCAACTGAAAGCACACCAGGGTAATATAATGCTCTTAATGAGAATTCCTTCCAGCTTGAGACCTTGGCGAGATAGCCATAATGCATGGCTTCTCTTTTTAATAAAATAATTGTTACAGTTATTAAAGATGAATCTCATCACAGTCGAGATGACAAAATAATTCATTACCAAAACCAAGGCTTTAAATAGCTGCAAATTATGAAGCCCTACCCCTCCGCCACCCCCCACCCCACCCTTTGAAAATACACTTCTAGATAAATGGGTTCGTTATTTCGTATAAATATTAGATATATGCTGCCCTTGAAAGGAAAGAAATATTGCAACTGTCCGTTAAAAAGTTTGCAGACGCACGATACACAATGTGCATCAAATCAATAATAAAAACCTAAAAATAAAAGCTATAGACTTGACCCTACATAATGGCATTACAACCCTTGTTTTAGTTCCAACTCGGATTGTTTTTTTGTTTAGGATTGATATAACTCATTCTAATTTTGAAATTATGTTTTCTTAAACCTTTAGAGAATGCTCAAAGCAGGATAACATATATTGTATTTTCTTTCTTTTGCTAGAGTTTACATAAATACCATAACACATGTGTGTTATGGATAGAACAATTAAATTTATTGTACATACAATATGTGTAATTATTCAACTTACCTGGATAATATAATGCACTACACCTTTGCTGTACTAGTAGACACTATAGATATTATCCATCCATCCATTATCTATGTACCACTTATTCCTGACTTGGGTCATGGGGGGCTGGAGTCTATCCCAGCTGACTTAGGGTGAAGGCAGGGGACACTCTGGACAGGTCACCAGTCTATCACAGGGCTACACTTAGAGACAGACAACCAAGCACACTCACATTCACACCTACAGACAATTTAGAATCACCAATTAACCTCAACATGTTT